AAAGCCTCATTAGCCATGGGTACTAAACTCAATGAAAAGAGAAACTGGCAAATTTCTTTTTGTCTTCCACAGGCGAAAGAAAGTCAAACTTGTTTGGACCAACATGAGGGTGATTAAAAATAACTGAATTTTCATTATTGATTGGACTATACCTACAATTTCCTCCCTTAATTACATACATAATGTTTTAATTAGATAATGAATCGCATCCAGAGAACATTAACATCCATAACGCCCACATCCAGACACATTAGTGTACTGTGATCCCAATCCCATCTGAATCAGTACATGAAATGACAGACATCCCATAATTATACCTTTAACGTCCTTTAGAAAATGTCATTCTCATTTTTCTTTGGCTTTCTGGTAGCAAGTTTCATACTCCGTATGTAATCAAATTCATATCAATTATGAAACAGTTCTGTTTTTGGGAAACCATCATCTAGCCCTGATCTACCTCATTCCACATTTACTGAACAGCATAAATGGGTTTCTCACCAGACGCTCAGGAACACAGTAATAGCTTATCATTAGCGGCCTGCCAAAAAGTTTTCAAAGAGAGCTTGGGGTGCTCTGTGAGATCAGACTCAGACCTACTTTACTGGAACTACTAGCAAAACACATTACAGAAATGAAAATGAAGATTAAAGCATGGTCGCGTGAAAGCTGAGGCTGGAAGGAGTGTGCCGGGCTAAAAGAACAGCACAGCAGAATGCAAAATTTAACAGCTCCCCTAATTATGATGTTGCCCTCAGAAACACTGGAGTGGATGAAAGGTGACAGGTGTAGAGGCTGTTTTCACAAGACTATTTCTACTGGGCTACTGCAGATACTGTACATCATCATGGACTTACAGGCTTTGTGAGGAAAAACTCATAGGGCCCTATCTTGCACCCGGCGCAAATGACTTTATACACAAACACGTCTCATTCCTATTTTGCACGCGCGCAAAGCGGGATTTTCCCCTCCACAGACGCACATAGGTAAACTAGGGAATGAACTTGCGCTCCCTGGGCGGACCGGCGCAAAAGGGAGGCGTGTTTCGGCGCAAACATTCCCTGGTGCTATTTTACACTTTCAGAAACAATTGCCCCACTGCAGTGTTGTAGTACTCGAGACTCGGACTCGTCTCGGACTCGGTCTCGAGACCATATTTTAATGGTCTTGGTCTTGTCATGGACAAGACGAACATTTTTTTTTTTAGGACTCGGACTTAGGACCCCGAGTCCACTCGAATTCAATTAAAAATATTTTTCATGATTATTAATTTATGTTAATAAAATATTTCTTTAAATTGATTGACACGCCCAGTGATTGGTGATTTCTAGTGTGCAACTGCGCATGACAAATTGGAATAAAATTACTTTTAACACCACCCACTATGTGGCCTTTTTACCCTAAACTGATCATATTTTTTAAACTCTAAGTAAATTCAGTAAAACAAAAAACAAAAAAGGATTTCTCTAAGTAAATAAAAGTAAATTAGGTAATCAACCCTCACTGGTCTCGGTCTCGACTCGGACTCGATCGTCTCTAGTCTCGGACTCGACTCGGACTCGACTCTCTATGGACTCGGTCTTGACTCGGACTCGACTCTCTCTGGTCTCGGTGTCGACTCGGACTCGAGTGAGGTGGTCTCGACCACAACACTGCCCCACTGACCAGAAAAAACCTGGTCTAAAGTCAGTGGCGCGTTGCGCGTTGTTCATAATGCTATTTTAAGCGCGCATGCTTGTCCATAATGTAGCGGGTGTACAGCGCACATACACTTTGATTCTCTCATCAACACAGATGCAGTAGTTTTTATTTTTGCAAATCATACATTATAACAAGGAAAAATATTAACACATGAGGGAAATCATTGTGGTTACATGAAGTTGAAAAAAACGAATTACACATTTTTTAAGGCTAATTGTAGTAGCATACTGAAGGATCAGACCTGTTTGCCCAATAGCGGCAAAAAACACACGTATAGGCTATAATATTTAACCGACAGTGTTGTGCGAGAGTTTCTCCCATCCCCATACAACTTCACCTCTCTGTCTTTCACTGTCCTGACAAGAACGTCGAGTTCTCTTTGCCATCGCGGCTATTTAACTGCAGCAAACTTGCAAATACCGGTCTATCTGGGTTCCCAAAACCATTCAGTCACGGAGTCAGTATGGTGAACACCACTGTATGTACACGGAGATACATCATCCATTATAGGACAGTTTCTGACTCCTAAAATGAGCTTCTGGTTCAACTTGCCTCGGTAAGACTCAGCACAAGACTTCACTCCTATTGGTTGTCGCTCGAGAAAATCGCTCCTCAATTGGATAAATTAAAATATTTCTCAACTTTGTCCCGTCGCTGGACAACGCGCCACTGGGTCGCGACTGCGCGTGTCGCCGGAAGTCGTCCGCTCACCATTGAAAATGAATGGTATCGTGTCGTTTGGTCGCGTGTAGTGTGAACGGGGCTTAAGCGCTGTCTTGCTCTCTCTATCCCTCGCACATATTAATCAAAATAAACGACACAATGGTAAGGTCGGGAGACTAAAGTTTCATGTGCAGCATTCAGAGATTTGGTTTTCCTGAATTACCGCTGGGTGTGAATTTTGCTAAAATAGGCTACAGGTACGTTGCCTTATCTTCTCTGAAAACCGTTCCACACATTTAGCTGACATAAACCACACTTCAAATAAACGAAAAAAAAATGACCAAAAGATGAAATGTTTTCTGTGATGACACACATCTTGTGTGGGATGTCCCAACCGCCGGGATAAATCACACAGAACGTGCACACGTCCGATAATGACACGTTCAATTCGCGAACTAATGACTCATTTGAACCGATTCGTTTTAATGAATGGTTAAAACAACTGAACTGATCTTCCAACACTGAACTCATGGGATGTTTAATCAGTGTATAACTAATTGACCTATGGCTAAGCCACGCCCTCAAACGCGATGAGCCAATCACAGTGCGCAGCTAACCTCAATACACTCTGACATTCTCTGCTTCCACTTCCATTGAAATGCATTGGAGTTAGTCAGTTTTCATTCGTTTTTTTCTTGTTATTTTAAGTTTAAAATGGTCAAACGGTGTGCATGGGGTACATACAACTCTGACACTAGTTTCCTGAGAGGCTAGGTGACGGTGCATATTTTTTTACCCTTTCCCAAGCCACATCTCAACCGAGATAAGTGTCTGCTCTGGATAAAGTTATGCGATAGCTAGACCACAACACCAACTAAACGTGGATAAATTAAACAAGGATGTCTACATCTGATCCAAGTTAGTCAACAACGTATTTGAACGTTATCTTTAAAATCTCTAACGTAACGTTAGTCTAACGTTAGACGTACATTAGAAAACATTAACGTTAGCTTCTAGCTGCGTTGTACATCATGTTAATTATGTATAATAACGTATATCTGTAAATAACCGAGATAACAAATGTTAACAATGTTGTGCTGAATGATTCATGTAAATACTGTAGCACCAAACGGTGATGGCAACGATATGCGGGTTATCATGTTTACACTGTGACCTGTACATCTCTGCCTGGAGCTGAAGCTTTTCATCGACCTTCTCAACAATAAAATTATTAATGTAACCCTCCAATGCATAGTTAATGCCCTTTAGGTGACTTCAAGATGATATATAATTTTTCTGTCTCCAAAAATCACCAATTGCCTCCTGTGAAATGTCTCCTACGGTGACAGCTGCCATAACGCCCGTGCCGTGTTTGTCACGTGAGTGGAGGGGGCGTGGCTTAGCCATAGGTCAATTGTAACACTTTTCAATAAGGTTTCATTTATTATATAAATTACATCAAAAGTACAGTTTGCTTAGTCAAGTGTAAGGTTTAAAACAAATAAAACCACTTGTTTCCCCCCCCCCAAAAAAAGCGTATGACTACTTTTTCCCACACAGTGCTATCAGGAATCGATAAGAGAATCGTTAAAGAATCGAATCGATAAGCAGAATCGTTAGTGGCATTGATATCGATAAAATCTTATCAATTCCCATCCCTAGGCAGGAATGCTGTTTTTGTCAAACAGCGACCCCTAGAGTAACTGTGGAGTACTGTGGTTCGAGATTGGGGGGGTGATTCGAGATGCCCACCATTCAACCCGAAAGAAGTCATATAACCATTTCAATAACTCTGAAGCTGTTAAATTAAGCTAAAATAACTGCATAGTGTCTCTTTACCAAACTGAAACGCAAGTAGCAAGCGCAAAGCGCAAGTAACTTTGTGGGCGGGTCTTGGGCGCTGTTGCTATTTTACCGGCTGGATAAATGACTCTTGCGCCGGGCGTAAGTTTAACCCTCTGATGGTCCTCGATCACTTCTGACCGAATAATTTTCTGTTTTGAATTATTAAAAATCACAGCTTCATCAGAAGGTTATGACACTTGGTGACTTTTTTGGCATTTGGTATGTGAATACAAAAAAAAATTGAGGTCATGATCCGAGCATGCTAAGTGGTCGTAAAAAAAAATAGTCACACTCGTGGTCTTTGGTCAGAAATGACCGACCCATAGGAAATGAATGGGACATTTACAAAAAAATATTTTTGTTTGTACAATCTAAAAATTAGCCACAATTCTTAAAAGAAGTATACTGCAGTAAAGGGGAAACCCAAGCTAACTCAGTGCTGTAATTTAAAGAAAAGGTAGAAAATGACAGACACTGACAGAAACAGGGTGGAATAGCATGGACATGGTATTAGAAAATGTATTTAGGGCTGTCAACCAAGAAATTTACATAAAAACAGACGTGTCGCCATTGAAACAGTGTCATCATTTTTGACACAGTCTGAAACTGATTATGACCATGACCACGTGTAAAAGTCATTGGGCATCAGTTTGGATTTGAAAAAAAAAAAGATCGGATTTAAAAACTCTGATTTTGAAACACAGTGAGAGAAAGAAACATAAAATGCAGAGAAACAGAACGAAAAGTCAGAGCGGGAGTTGGAGATGAGAGGAGGAAAATATGAAGGCACTGACCTAAATTGCGTTTTTTATCATCTATGGCGATGAAGCGAATGCAGGGATTATTGGAGACGTACTTGGCCGCCCAAGGGACGTCGATTCGTGCGTCGGCTTTGTAGAAGAGTCCAAGTGCGTAGCGTGAAGAGTAGCTGACAGCCTCCAGCTTCTTCCTCTGATTCTCCCCCATCACTGCACAGACACACACAAACACAACAGCACAGGATGAAGCCTCTGGGCCTCCGTTAGTTCATCTCTCTGTTCACTTCAGACAGAAGCCAGAGTTGGTGCCTGTGAAGAACGGGACTGTAGCATTCATAACGCACAGATCAAATGAGGTAACACTGTGCTGTCAACTCACAGAGCTTCAACAGCACCAAGTCAAGTCAAGTCAAGTCAAGTATATTTATATAGTGCTTTTCACAATATAGTTTGCAATATAGATTGCATCAAAGCAGCTTCACAGTATCAATCAACCAAGTCTGATAACACAAATGGGTTAGTGTGACTTGAGTGTGTGGTTGATGTGTAGTGCCTATAAAACACAACCAACTAGCCCCTTTTTGCAGCTGAGATGAGCTGCGCGGAGGTTAAAATGGACAGTGAGTGACACTTTAATGAGAACGCGGTGCATGGACTGATTCGCTTGTGCATGTGGGGCTCTTTTTGTGTGTGTGTGTGTGAAAAATGCTGTCCTTGTTTCCTGTCTGGAACATCTGTTATTTATTGGAAACAAGCCGTCACACTAAGGTCTGCTTTAGTTATTTAGGGCCCACAGGTACGGAGTGTAGTAGAGGTCAAAGGTCAGCCCTTGTGGATTCAAATGCATATTTCTACTCAAAGACACCCCTGTTTCCAGTAAGGAAGAAAGCATTTCATGGACAACCGACAGGGAGACCTGATCAACATTAGTCTATCTGAGCAGTATCTTCCCCTCCTGAAGCAACAAACAGATGTTTGGTGAAAAGGGATGAAAGTGATGATGCTGACTCATCATTTTCCCTTTGCACATGTGCGAGTGAGGCAGCACTGTGGTGTGGGAACGACAGCGCTCCATCAGTTCTTGGAGATCTTGGTTCAGAGACACTTCACGGAAACTCTTTGGTTGAAGCATTTTTTTTACTTTGTCCACTTATCTGTCTTTGTTGACATCCGCCATGTGTGTGCAAACAGACCGGGACTGGCCGGAAATGAACTGGTCTTCAGGCGTGTTGCAACCATAAAAGGTCCTAAAACTTAATCGCAATTCATTATTATTCTGCAAATAACGTTTCCATCCGCTTTTATCGCATTAGCCGTATATCGATCATGATAAAATCCGATGAGACCGAACGTATTTCATTTCAGTCGATATTCATGAAATTTAATCGAAGTATACTGTTTCCATAAGGTATTTTTCATTCGATATCACTTAATGCGGATAAAAAGGTGTCGATGGAAACATGGCTAGTGAAATGTGCGCTGGTTTCTCTCCGTGTTCTGCGCTGGTGTACGAGTCTCATCAACAGTAAACCCAGGCCAAACGCAAGCTATCAGCCCTATCCACCGCATGTTATTAATAGTGGATACTTTCGCGCGCTTTCATGTCCATTGTCCAAGTATCTGCTATCAGACCCGTTGAAGTGCAGCTTCTGTTCATGTGTGCTATGTTAGTTAACCCTATATAGCCTACCCTACATAGGCTACAGTTAGGGTGATACTCATGACTTAAAATGTGATATTGCCAGCACAGCTCTTGCGTTTCGTTTGGTCACACACCACAAGGTGTCACTGTGGCCTCAAAGCTTCAGCACTGCCACTCTGAGCTCGATTGCTTATGTCTGCGTTAAAACACGCCCCCCTCATTAACATATGGAGAAAGAAATGTCGGAATAAATAAATGTGGAAATAAATAAATGTAGAAATAAATAAATGTGAAAATAAATAAATGTAGACATAAAAACATAAATACATAAATGAATGTGGAAATAAATAAAAGTGGAAATGAATAAATGTAGAAATAAACAAATAAATAAATAAATGCGTGAAAAAATACAATTATACATAAATATGGAAATAAAAGTATAAATACTCATTTATTTGTACTTTTTTACATTTCTTTGTATAATTATTTATGTATTTATTTTTGTATTTTTGCTTTTTTACATTTCTTCGTATATTTATTTATGTATATTTCTTTTTAATTAAGTCAGCTTTGGCATTCCATAATAACCGGTTATAACTGATGTTTGAATCACTGTAAATGCTTCTGCCAAATTAATAAATGTAACATAAGAATAGACTGAATTGTCCCACATTGGAGTGTTAATGTATTTTGATAGGTTGTACTCTTCAGCAGCTCTGCAGTGAATGTAGTAGCCATAGACTGTAAAAAGTAGCCTAGTCTGCCAGTTGATCTTGTAACGTTACAGATATCTCAGGCTGCTTGGCTGAAGAGGCGCGTCCACTGGCTGGCTCAGTCTCACACAAAGCCCGCCCTTTTACGCATATACGGATTGGCCAGACGGTGGGCGGGGTTAGGATTTCCCAAGATTTTCAAAAGATGGCGCCGCCCATAAACAGCCTTAAAACCGTTAGTCATAAAGTCTACGTAATTTTTTTTTACAGTCTATGTGTAATTCCTATTGAAATAGGAAGTTTAGGTGGGACATATTGAATGGCCTGTCCTTTATAAAACAACAAAGAAAAAAAAGGCAGAATTTTTTATTCTTCTTTTAATGATTCCGAACTGTTCAATTAACATATTTATATTAATCAAAAAGCCTATTATTTCACATATATTTAATTATGAAATATATTTAATTAACATTACATTAAGATTAATTATTATTATTAATATTCATTTGTTGCACAGCTGTAACCTGTATGTTTTTGTCTGTATCACTGAAAGAATAAAGACGTATTCGATTCCAAAACGTAATTTGATTCCAGATTTTTTTCCACTGTGTAAACGGCTCTTAGTTCAGATAAAATCTGTGCAGATGAGTCAGCAATTTTTTGCTCCGTTGTCCGAAAAGAGAAAGGCATATATATATATATATATATATATATATATATATATATATATATATATATAACCTCAAAGTTCCCAATCAGTCAGTCATGTTTTGACGTTATGTCAGAACTGACTGATGCATTGGAATCTTGACGAGAGGCCAATTACCTTTGAGTGGTAACAAAACAAGCCAATGTATAATAATTGTGGTTGACTGAAACAATCACGGTTATATCAAACGGTTATTGAATTATCGCAACAGGCTTACTGCCACTTCACGGTTGCGTCTGTGGTTTAGCTGGTGCCACTTGCACAGTGTCTGGGGGCCTGGCTAGCACTTCCAGACCTACAGTATCTTGTTGGCTCATTCGGACAATCAGACTAGGCTGTGGAATTCAGTTCATCTGGCGTCTCCCACAGGTTCAGAAGGGTCTTGTTGTTTACCTCAGTGGCAGAAAAGGATGCTCCTGTCCTGCTTGTGGAGATGCAGTCCTTCTAGCAAAGGATGCAGTAGAGCCGGTCCCTCTCGCCGAGATAGGTCAGGGTTTTCAACCCGTACTTCATTGTACCCACAAAAGTTGGTGGGTTATGTTAAGTATTTACAAGCTTCCGTTCAAGATTCTAACGCAGAAATGCATCTTCATGTGTTCACCCCAAGAATAAACGAATGTTCTGAAGGACACGTAGCGTCTTGAGTTTACCCTGACGGACAGTTCCAATGTTTTGCTTCGAGGGTAGGGTATATCAGTACAAGATCCTCCCCTTTTGGCTGTCCCTGTCGCCTCACGTCTTCACAAAAGTCGCAGAGGCTGTCCTTGTCCCGCTAAGGGAAGAGGGTGTTCGCATTCTTAAATATCTTGACTCTGGCTCACTCTAGCTCAGCTCACTTTCCCTCAGAAAGCTTAGGTACAATTGGCTCACTGACCCCATAGGTGGAGAGGCCATATTAAGATTAAAAGCCTCCACATAAGTTCCTCCTCTCTCTCTTCCTGCTTCTGCTGGTCTCTGTGCGTGTGTGGGTCCGAAAACTCTGTCCTACCACGTGGTCGTCAAGTCCCGTTCTACCACGCGGTAATAACACATCAAGCCATGTGCAACTTCCTCGAACATGACGGAGTTGAACTAAACATGCAAGTTTATCATATTTTCTTCATTCAAATAAGTAGAAATTCATTGCAACTGCAATGCCATCGACTATTGGAACCATCAAATCAGGAACTTTACAAAACTGCTTTAACGGCAAAGCAAATTTCGTACAATTAACTGAGGTTTAGTAATAAGCTGTGAAGCCTTTGACGAGGCTTTGAAAATAATAAGCAGATGGTTCTTTTCAGCGCACAGGTTTTCTTGTGAGCGCACAGGTTCAGGATCCATAACAGGACCTCGACTGCAGTGGCACATCAGTTGCCTCGAGTTGCTAGCAGTACTTATGACCCTGCACCAATTTCGACCATTATTGCAGGACAATTGCAATACTGTCCTGCAATACAATTGCCCATTCCTGGCGGATTCCACTGAGGAAGGACCTGCTTTTTAGGACAGAGACTAGGGATGTGACGGTGAGGATATTTTCTCACCGGTTAATCGATGTGTGACAACACCGGTAATACCGGTGTCACCAGCGGGGGCTTTTAAATCGCTTTAAAGGCATTTAAAGGCAAACGTAAAATGCCCACGTTTTCACGGGCATACATAGCGGTGCGGTAGTGCGGGAAAGAACGGTTTTGTTATTGTGCCCTGAATATGCGTTAGTTTGAAAACGAAATTAACTTTCACTTTTAAATTAGCGTCAATTCATCCTTCGCTTGGAGTTTGATTGACAGACATGTGATCTGACCAATCAAAATCCACCATTTTTGTCCGACAAAGCAGTCAGGAGAGTTAGTAGATTAACGTCGGTGGAACTTGGCTTTATCAGGCAATCTGTCACAACACAGTAAAGAGCCACAAAATGGTAGGCCTATTTATTGTTTGATTTTCTTTGACTGACCAAATTTGAAAGTTGAGACTGTTTCATATTAAATATTACCTGCTCGGTCCTGTCTGTCAACGCGTTGTCAGTGTCCTATATTTTTCACTGCTTGAGAACATGGGTTGAATCCGAAATCGCCCCCTAAACCCTCATTTACTAGGCCTATTCCCTACATTAGTCCACTAATACTGTTCACTTGAAGGAGTGAATGAGAAGGAGTAAGTA